TTGTTACCACTTCAGATAATCGAGGAAAATCGACGGTAAAAACGAAAGTTGGGGTGAATATTTTTATTGCGCTTTAAAATTAATTAAATTAAAAAAAAGTGTTAAGTTATAGTAAACTGAATTAGTTTTTTTTATAATTAACAATAGATTAAATAAATAATTTTATGACTTGTCCACACTAACTCCATTAACCCCATCACATGTCTACACTAGTGTGGATAAAAAGATGTAAAAGAAATTTTTTTTTAAAGAAAGTGTTTTTTAGAAAGAGTTTTCTAAAAAAAAGTATACTTCCAAATTATTAAATTCATATTGTTCATTTGTATTATTCCAAATGAAGATCTATGTTCAAATTTTTATTAAAACAATACTATATATGATTAGAATCAGGATAAATATACTTTTTTGGGCCCCCCTCTCTCCTACATACACATAAAAGTGAACTTAAAAAAAAAATAATTTTATTGATGTACAGTGAGCCGAAAAAAAGAAAAAAAAAACTAAGCACCCTGAATAACTTTTGATCTAATGATCAGATCTACGCGTTTTAGGACTCAATCTTAATGTTTCGAAAAGGTGACCTGCAACATACTAATTAATTAGTGCAGACGATATTTTAAGTTATGAAATCAGACACAAAAGCGTATTTTCTCTGAATAAACATACCTTTTTTACACGGATTCGGATTTCTGAATAGCAAGATATAGAAGCAATCTGGGAAATATGGTGCCCATACTTTGGTCATTGGAGCACGCATTTTGCCACATCTTAAGAACTTTTTAAGCGAAATAAATTTTTTTTTGCACATAATGATATAATTCATTCATCCGAAGAATTCTATACAAAAAATAAATTTTAGTAATTATTTCTTATTATTTATTAAATAATAGTCCAATGGTATCATCATTTTAAAGTATGTAGTTTCACATGTCAAAATGCAAAATTTGAACAAAAGCGGTTGAATAGTTCCGGAGAAATCGAATTTTGAGTATATGACTTTTTAAAAATTAGATTTATCAGGAACTAGTCGACCGATTTTGCTCAAATTTTGTATTTTGTCATGCAAATTTACGTATTTGTAAAGGATGTAAAAAATTACATACCTTACAATTCAAAATTTTTTGAACTATTATTAAATAAAATAATAAAAATAATAAATATTTACTAAAATTTATTTTTTGAATGGAATTATCTTTGTTTAAACAAATTTTATAATTGAGTTTCAAAATTTATTCAATTCATTTTAAAAGCTCTTGAAATATGGTGAAATACGCAAAACGTAAAATTACCATTAAGGAGTCCAAACTTTGGATAGCTCTCCTGACTAAACTATTGGGACCCCATATTTCCCATATTGCGGCTACATCTGTATGTTTGGAGGTTCGGAAATTTGAATCTGTCGAAAAAAAAGGTATGTTTATTCAGAGAAAGTACATTTTTTGTGTCTAATTTCGTAACTTTAAATATCGTCTGCACTAATTAATTAGCATATTTGAGTTCACCCCTTCGAACCATTAAGATTGGGATCGTGAACATCCGATTATTAGATCAAAAATTATACAGAATGTTTTTTGTTTGACGCGCTGTACATAAATCAGATTTTCTTTTAATTTTTATTTAATAAAATCTCTTTCCTTAGAGATTACATCCCTTTTTTCAGATAGTTTGCTCCAGCAACACATCTTTGCTCGTCATTACAAACTCTTATAATTTGTTATTTAAACGAATAACTGTTATCGAATTGTAATTTAATAGTTTGTAATTGCATTCCTGTCAAATATGTTGTTAAAAAAACAAAAGTAAGATACATCAAAATATTTATAATTAAATTCACAAAATCAGAAAAATATAATGGTGAAATATGATACATCATTTTTTCCTTCTTTTGTTAAGGCATTTCAAAACATGAAGTAAATTTATTCTACTAAAAAATATTGTAGCGAAAAATAATTCTAAAACACAAATTTATCAAATTTTAATTGCATAGTGAAAATTAAAACTAATTTATTTATTTAAATGAGTCTTTTTGCTTAAATTATATCCGTAAATAACAAAATAAAGCAATTCGCTTGAATTTAAAAAAGAAAGATTGGTTAGCATGTCACGTTTGCGAATAATCATTTAACTTTAATTAACTAGTTTTACTATCCAGCAGAATCAGAAACCAACATCCAAACAGATCCCTTCAGTTTTATTTTTGAGTGGGGAAAAAAATTGGTTTGCTTAGCGATGATCTCGTGAAGGCGATAAAGAATCATGTCTACTACACACCAAAGACCTCAGAATGCGTACAAGACGATCACTCAAAGATTAATTACAGGACCTACAACATTCGACAGGTAGGGAAGGGGAGGGGGTAGGAAATTCGACTAGGTGGGATTATGGATAAAACTCCCAAGGAATGTCAACGGTTGGACGTGATCCATATACTACTAAGTCTCGTTCGACTGCGATCAAGCAGATGGCGCTGTCGCAGTTCAGTGGTGACAAATTTCTCAGTCTTGTCCCGGAGGCATATAACCAACCCTTACAACTACTCAAACTGAAGAGAGATTTTGAGCGAGCTTATTGGATCTTATGTCAATGTTATTTATGACGTATTGGTATTTCATTCTGCTATACTTGCTATTTTTTTTAGCATGAAACGAGTTTGTTTCTAACTTGAAATATCAGTTGTTTCGCTTGAAAACTACGCTTTTCATTTATAAATGAGATTGAAGTTATTTCTTCCAACATTGTTACCCTCCAAAACAGTGTTCGAAATTTAGAAGAATCCAATAAGTATTTTTATAATCATTAAATGCATCGACGCTTTATGAAACTAATATCGCACTAACTTATTGAATGAAACTGAAAGCAGAGTTTAACTGCCTTAATCAATTTTTAAATTCACCAAGGAATAAAACAAAGAATAGTTTAAAATTGATATCTATCGAATTAAATTTTAATATTATTTATCTCTCTAGTATTAGGAAAATTTGTATAGAATTTACTATTTTACACATTGTGCCCTCCTTTGCAATAAAAGATCAACGCACCTACTTTTGACTCATTTCAAGTGTTTCCACGAGTTATTTTTATGTTTTTTATATTTTAAAATATGTATAATATAAATTATATTATATAATAATATTATAATGTAATATTATATTATAAAATATTTGTCTTGAGTTGATAAATTTTTTTTCAGGGTAATCAAAATTCCTTGCTATTTATTATGTTTTTTATAATATAAATTCTCACGCAATGAATCTAAACTGTGTATTTTTCTTTGGGAATTTTTTTCTTTCAGTTAGCACGTATGGTATATTTAATTTAGGAACTTTAAAGGCATAATGTTGCTCCAATTTAAAATTGTTATTCATTATTGAACTTTTTGCTTTATAGTTAAATCTTTCAGTTATAATGAAATTGTTATAAGCAATTAAATTCTATTAATATAGTTATAACACGTTTCCATACTTTATGCAAAAGTTGAGTTTCTAAGAAAATAACTTTTATCGTTTAAATCTAAACTGCTTATTTTTCATTCGTTTCGTTCAGGTAAATTTAAATAATGAAAGCTGTTTAAGAACCTCGAAAATCTCATGATGCCCTTAAATTCGAACAATTAGTGCATGTTTGAAATCAATTCTTATATTTATTATAAAGTTTGCAAAAAATATAATAAAATTTATTTTTAATAATTATTATTGCACTAATTTTATGTTTTACCAGAATTGTAAACTTGTATTTATCTGGAATATGCTTGAAATATTTAAAAAAATTATTATTGTTAGTTTAAAAAAATGCTGTAAATGCATGTACTGTAGAAGGCAAATATATTAAATTAACAAAGAAGAACACAAAAATAAAATTTAAAATGAACTGGATTTCAATGAGTATGTTACTTAAAAAATTTTGAACACGCTTTAAATTTTGAGTTAAAAAACGCTTGACTTAAAACTATTTGTTAAGAATTTCAGAATTGATTCATAATTGATTTACATTTTGTGTAAGTAAGAAACGATAAAAATTTATTAGAGAGAGAAATGCGTCTTAGGTAACAAAACTCAAAATACCTCTTCAGTTTGAGAACAATATGCATCCCGGAGTTATGTTGCTGGAATTTCTCGAGTTTGAATTCTACATGTTATTCCTGTCGAGATTGAATTCTACGTGGTATTCCTGTCGAAATTAAATTCTGCGTGGTTTTCCTGTCGAAATTGAAGGAGGTAAAAAGCAGCCAGCCCTTCCCGTGTCGAGCGTTTCAATGATAGATGACAATCCTTCTCAGTAAACCATATTGAAAAGAATGATCAATGTGGTTGGTTGTAAGCACCTTGATCATCCTCCAAACAATCCTGATCTTGCGATGCTTCTTCCGAATGCAGAGCCCTGATATTTTCTAGAAGGGCTTTTCAAAGCTTATAAATTGATGTGACAAATGACTCAACGTACTTCGTAATTAGGTGTAAAAATAAAGTTATCTTTAATATATTATTTTGTCTCGCATCCACATCTTTCTCCACAGTCGCCAGGGGAAACCAATTTTCGGACTCCCCATCATCGAAATATTAAAATGCCCAAGTATCTTCTCTAGGATTATAAGTACATTTTTATTATTTATTTAACTTTTAAGACTTGCTGGTACAAAAGTAATTCTTAACCAGGAAACAGACCATCATGCATCCTTGTTCAGGATTTTTTTTTAAAAATATGAGTGTCTAAGATTTAGTGGTTCTTCAAAGGCTTTGAACTATTACAATAATTTTGTTTGCTCATATATTTTGTGTACATACAAAAAGTTCTAGCATAAAATTTTTGCAGAAACTTTTCGCCACCAAAAAAGACTCTAGTAACAATTGAAAACAGCTGTACAGTTTCAAGAAACAGATTTCTTTTTTAGAAACACTAATGCTGCATCATTTGATGTTTTAGAACTAGTTATCTGTATAATTACTTATGAGTAAAACAGACTTTTTCCCCCAAGAACATAATCTTTATAACTATTCGAATCATTAACAAAAAGCACTTATCAGTAGTTTAATTAAATAATCACTTACATACTTTAAAGATATACATGGATAAGTATTTGAAACATGAATAACTTCATGAAAGTTATTACACAAAATAAAAAATTAAATCAACATATTATTTAATGCAAAAGCATACATAGTCTTAAGTTGTGATTTAAAAAATGCATTCTTTTTCTTTTGTCAAAAGGTTATTAGAAATAAAAAAAATAAAAAGGGACGTTTAAATTGCCTCAAATGAATTTAAGACAATAGTAAAAATATTGTTGCTCGAGAAAATTTAAAATCGTGCAACATACATAAATGTAACTCTTTCCAACATAGTTAAATTAGAAACTGAAAAAAACAATTTTATGTATTTCAAGTTACAAAATACACACATTTCATAATATTTCAAGTATTATATGCTTATAATTATAAAAAGCGCAAACAATAATGGGCCGAAACAATTTTACCAGTTTCGATCGAATCTGCTGCAGTAATATATGCAAGCATTTTGTAATAAGTTACTCATATCTATGAGCTATAATTGTCTTGGTGTCTTCACTTAAATGCTTAGACTCAGCCTTTGGAAAAGATATGCACATAAATTTTCCCCTCAATTGGAGATTCAGATACAAAGGTTCACTTTTTTTGAAATTCCATGGGCCATCATCAAAAAGCATCTAAAATAGAGATATAAAAAATTACATTTCATAATTACGAGTAAATAATTTATTTCTTATACAATAATATTAAATTTATTTTTTTAAAATATCACTATATTACTGATGATGAAAAGATCATCCCGAAATGGAGAGCAATATTTCAGAATCAATTTAGCATGCTTATTTATTTTTAGCTAATTGAAAAAATTCGATTAGAAATTTCTCAAATGATGTACCAATTTACTTAAGTTTTGGACTTACAGAAAGTTTGTAAGCATAAAAATATTTTCATATTATTAAACAAAGCAAGAAATTATTTAAACAAATTAAAAATATACCACAATTTAAATAAAATAACAAATTCCTAATTGATCAAAACTAATGAACTTTTTAAATTGAATGATTATTTTATTGAAATATTCATAAACATAATATTAAAAATTGCATACAGCATAAAATGGAATAATATTTGTCATGCATAGTTCATAAGCAGGGTTCGCTTATTTAATCCAGCTCTATTAAAAAAAAAGATTAAACCTGTAACCATTATCCAAGAAGCGGTCATTTCTTTTAATAATGAATATTATTTACATTTATTATTAGCCTCAAAATCGAAGTTTCATTAAAGATTGAAAATTAAAGGTGAAACAGACTACGGTTGAAGTGGCTTACAGCAACTTAGTTTCCTCCGCTTCATTAGTATGCAACACACAATCTTCCACTTAGAAACGCTCATTTATCACACAGCGTTGTCTTTGATGCTGGTTTATTTATGTTTTTTAATAAATCTGACAACGTGATTTACTTCTGGCAAAAATAATTTTTTTCTCTCATGTCTTAAAAAACTTCTTTAATTTTACGTTTCCTTCAGGATCATTTTTAATGTTTTATTTATTTGCCCGTAATTTCAATTAAATCATATATTTCTTTTTTAAATTTTTGAACTTGAAGTACATTTGTCAGAGTCTTTTTACAGTTTCATTCATTATACTCTTAGGCCAAAGTTTAAAATTTAGAAACGCAATTTATTGCTGGAACTGTTACACTAAAAGGTTTTAAATAAATAATAATGATTGGATTATATCAACTTGCGCTTTTAAACAGACGAGGGTGATCAATATTTTTCAGAAATTATCAATGAATTAAATCGAGAAATTAAGATGAATAATAGAGAAAATGAGGTATCAAAGAAATTTGCGAAATTATTTTAAAATTCAGAAAGTTTAAAAAATTTAAAGTTTACTGTAAACCTTTAAGTGATCCCAAAGCCAGAATTTTTGTCTCATGAAAATGACAAAAGTCTTATAAATCATTACATTTTAAATTTCAAACAAGCTTTACACACAGGCTCTATAACCTCAGACGGGTCAGTGAATTCAGGTCAGCACATTACTACAGTCTAGAGATGGCAAATATTTTCTGGAACAGGTATTTCGTACCTGTTATTGAATCATATCTGTAATAGAAATAACATGTTACATGTAAATGCTTGTTTCAAAATACTAGGCAAAAATAATTCAATTATCTTGTCAAAAATGTATTTTTCAACTTTATTTTAACATATGGAAACTGTCTTTGACCTATCTTTGTACTGTTTAAAATAAGAAAAAAGAAAAAGCGCTAGTTTTATTTGTGTGATTGCTACAGGACCTTATGTGATTAGTTGTAGGGCCCCTCGCCAGACATTGAGAGGGGCCCTGCAAGTTTTCGATTTCGGCAAAGCCCCTAGGGAAATAAATTACTCAGAAACTAGTTAGATTTTTGTTTAAATAATTCTAATAGATAATGTGGTTTTTTTTCGGATTTAATTTCTGAAATTGGACAAAATAAAATTTTTATTCCATTATTGTAATTTTTTTGTGCTGTTTGAAATCTAATAATTTCATGAGTTACTTTGCTAAAATCAAAAGAATTGATCTAAAAATGCGTTTATGAAGCTTATTTTCTCTAGTTCAATGGCTTGTATTTCTCGCCGTACTTTTTTTTGCATGGGACCACTAGAACTGACTTCAAGAACCACTCCAAGACAATCATGTATATGTTTGATAAAGAAATAAAAAAAATTCCACGAAAATAATTTTGACAAAAACCACCTATGAAACGCGGGGCACTGTACGAATTCCCTTCTCATGTCTAGAAAACTTTGAATTCACCTTCATTTGGAAGGGGGGAAATTAGTCAAAAAATTCGGCTTATTAAAATAGCTCTTAATACGGGAAAATTCGATCATTGGAACAAAACTTTCTCAAAGTAAGATCCATTTTTCTTCTATGTAAGTATAAATATGATATTTTAAAATTTAAAATCAATTTACAGAGTTTAAAAAAAAATATTTATTTGTATCAGCAAGACATTGATCGTGGTTTTATAGTCTCAAAGATAAAAGAGCCGTCGTTAGAATGCGTAAAATATAATTCCAATAAAAAAAAATGTTGCTCCATAAACTTTAATAAATAACTAATTCCAATTATAAATTAATAATAGTTCTTAAATTTTGCTTCGTTGAAATTATTGCGTTCGAATTAAGGCATTAAATGGTTTTTTAAAATTTAACTCATAAGAAAATGATATTTTTGCAATTATATTGTTAAAATACATATAAGGCATTTTAAATTTCTTAATATGTATATAAAAAAAACAACCCTTTCAAAAAAAAGAGGAAATAACATTATTAATGGCACATACTATTCCCCCCCTCCCTTTAAGGCTCTACTTCTGTCTCTTAATCTGTTTCTAAAACAACCACCTAATATTTTAAACATGTTGTATCGTAACAGCCTGTTATTTTATCACAAGGCAGGATTTCGGTATAGATTGGATTTTGTCACAAATTGGTCTTTTGGAGGAGACAGTATTTTAGAACAGCTGTTATTTTGCTACATGCTAATATTTTGGAACAGGTGGGATTTTGTCGCAGACTAGTACTTTGGAACAGCCTGTTATTTTGTCACAGGTTAGTATTTCGGAACAGATGGTATTTTGTCACAGGCTAGTATTTTGAAACAAGTTAATATTTCGGAGCAAACTTTTAGTTAGGAACAGACTAGCTAGTATTTTATCACAGTCTACTATTTTGTAGCATATTCGCCAAGCACCGTGACCTGCTGGTGGGAAAAAGCCCTCCCCCTGCCCTGTTAATGTTCGGTCATATGGTGGCAGCTTGTTTATAATTGCATTTTCAGTATTTTCTGTGATGAAAAAGTAAAAACATTTAATTATTTTTCCTCATTTTGATATTGATACATATTTCCTACATAGAAAATAGTTGTGGGGGGTGGAGTTACAGACCATGTCAACCTTCATCTATGAAAAGGTACCCCAACATAGAATCGAGTTAACATGTCTTATATACTAGTGAATTGTAGTTGTAATTTTGTAGTGGTAGATACGCTACAGTACTCCCCCACTAGAATTTTACCTGTGATAGAATTCGATGAACGAATACCACTAGTTGATTCATTGCTGTTTTGTGAGAAGCTGGGAGAGCTGTACTATGATCACCGTATTTTTTTTTTGAATGCTGAATGTGAGAGATGTATTAACTTCACGGTCGTAGTCGCTCCTCTGTTGCCGTTAGCAGTCGAGTAATCACAAGTATGCAAGCCGACGTTGTGCGTGATCGAGACGAGACTGAGTAGCAACAGTGCGAGGAGGTGGATAATGTCGCAGTCACAAGTAGCAAGTCAACTGTTCAATGTGGTTATCCATCTAAGTAGGCGTTACTGTCTAGGTAGGCGTTACTGCCTAGGTAGGCGTGTTCACATCACGTCCGAAGGTCACCAATGTGGGGAGAGGAGTATTAGACCATGTCAACCGTCATCTATGAAAAGGTACCCCGGCATAGATTCGAGTTAACATGTCTTATATACTAGTGAATTGTAGTTGTAATTTTGTAGTGGTAGATACGCTACATAGTCTTATTGTCTTATTGCATTTGTCTTGTTGTCTCCTTTCTTCTCTTCTCAGCCTTGCACTCTCTCTTTCGCAAATTTTTAAAGGCAATAATAATTTCCAGAGGCTTTTTTAAAGGCGATAAAGATTTTAACTTTGTATATCCTTAAAAAGGGGTTGTTAAAACTATATTTAGAAGTCAAATTCAAGGGCTGAATTCGCAAACACTATATTTTTTCTCCCTAACTTTATCCCTTTTCACTCTGAGTATTTTAATATACAGACCTCCTGTAGACACTAAATCATTTAAACTACTAAGTACAATATTTTTATATAATTTTTAAAATTCATGAAAAATTTTGGCTATTGATTTTTAAGATATAAAACCTGCAAGTTTTACAGTTGTGACTTTCGATATCTACGCTGAAAACGAAGAATGAAGGGTAGTACTATAGTACAGAGAGGATGAAGGGTAGTACAATAGTATGTAAAGATTATTTTGTTCTTATTTATCTATCAAAAGACATTTTGTGAAAGATAAAATTACTGTTGTTTATTTTATCTATTGAATTAGAAACGTAGATTAAACTAATGACAGGAAAATTGTGTTATTTTAAACAAAGTTTAGAGTTTGCCTTTCCCTAAAGCCGTTTATTCTCGCTCCCTTCAATAGTGGGCGAAGGAGAAACAATCCCTGGCATCCAGTATACATGTATAATTGGAGATCAAGGAAATTAAAACTAATTATTACCCATTGACAAAATGGTCTTGGTTTGGATTTGATGGCATGCACACACTTTTCAACTGTGTTCAAGAGTTATAATAAACATTGCGCATGCGTCGTAATTGCATGCGTTGCTATGGCGACCGCTGCTGTTTTGATTTTCACTAGCAGGCATTTTTAATGTATTTACATAATGATAATTTAAAGTATTTTTATATTCTTTTTATTATTATCGTATAATTACTGGCTTGACGGTAATTTCAATATAAATTTGAATGCTGAAGAAGCAGAAGTGTTTTGTGACGTCTTGAAACTGGGCAGGATTTGAAAACCAATCTGACGACAGACATCAATTGAGACAGTTTTTGCAACCCATGATTTGAAATGTTGTGGCGTTTAACGGAGTCAATCTAGAAAGAAAAAGCATTTGACCAATGGATAACCAGAGGTTGTAATAAGGCGATCACAGCTTTTTTATATTGTATTTTCTATTTTTATTATTTTTATTACGAAATTACTTAGAAAAAGATGGTTGACTTAAGCAAAATTGTTTATGAGAAATAAAATGCGATTTAATAATGAAGCAACAAGTTTAGTTATTAAGTTTTAGGTCATTAAATTTTAATAATTTTTACATTTAATGGAAAATTCAGAATATTTTTTTGGAAATGGTAAATTGCTTAAATTAGAGTAACTTGGGCTTGCATTTACATAAAAATGAATCAAAAGCTGATTATAAAAAATAAAAAAAACTGAATTAGAATTTTTTAAATGCTGTAAATTTTTAATAGGCTCTTTTTTGCCCCCCTCCCCTACAAAGTTCACTGCATTAATTAAAATCGCCTTTCGGGAGACATTTTACCGAGGAGTTTACTTCGAGAATCTATGCATCTCTTTACGCCATTGGTCCTCTAACTTTTAGGTCACCTCTCTAGCTTTCACTGCTATCCGTGCAGTTTTCTTTTTCGACTCTTGAGGTCGAGATCGACTCTTTACACAAAGGCGTGTCCTTTATTTCACTTGTAGTTATCTGTTGTAATTCAATCAATGTTCTATGTGAAGAACTATTTTGTCATTTCTTTGAATTTCATCCACTCGCATGCAAATAGTAGTCTCTCTGTCATTGTCTATTATTTTGTTATTTAAAAGATTTATTTATTTTGAATTTTTGAAGAAAATAAATCATATATATTCTCAAAGAATAATTTTCTGCAGGAAAGGAAAAAAAAAAACTATTACAGTTATATATTACTTAGCATGGTAGTTCTGCCAGTTACTTCGAGTGCATTTTTTCAAACGCTGGATACGTAGTAAATGACTGACGAACTTGCCTTTACAGTAAACATATAAAAAGAATTTTATTTGTAAATACAAATTTGCACTTTATATAATTGCAAGCAAATTATTCAAAATTTCTGTCCAGCTTCATAATATAGTATATATTACTTGAATTCTAGAACATTATTTTGCTTACAAAGAATTTATCGTATTTTCTATAATTTTATGTATAAATTATTTGTTACATATACTCAATGTAATTTGTACTTTTAATTTATTTTTCTTTTAAAATAATTAAAAGCATACTAAATTATGAAATTAAATAGATTTTTGATTACCTCTTCTTTTTTTAAATTTTTAAGCAAACTAGTCTTATTTTATTTCATTTTATTACCGCCGTTGAACAGCCGACCCAATTTTGAGTTTACGACTACTAGTGCTCAACCCCGTAGCCTTGTAATTTTGAACCCAATCCAGAAGACAAGAAACTGCTGGATTAATACCCAAAGAGTTATTGATTTGTCATGGGAACTTGGAGGACTTTTTGACTCCGACAGATTTAACGTGCGCCAGTCACCATTTAATACACGGGGATTCTTCGGCCGGCTGGATTCGAACTCGCGTTCTCACAAACATGAGTTCAACGTCCAACCAACCAGGCTATCCCGGCCCTAACGTTCTAACCTAGTAATTTTAAACCCAATCCAGAAGATAAGGGAACACCTGGATCAAGTATTGCCAGAAAATTTTGCCTTCTTGGATTAATTTTTGATTGCACTAACCCGCATTTGCGTTATAAAGAAAGGAAAAACACGAAAACTTCTCATGGTTAGCCTGACAGCAAAGAGACTTTTACACATGATCCGTATAGCTCTGAGGATATTTTACGTCAACACAGCTGTCGGTGTGAGCCGGGTGTGGAATCCATATCGACCAGCCATCCGTGCATGGGATTCGAACCCAGGTTCACCTCATTAAATGGCGAACGCTTTATCAATTGAGCCACCACGGCTTAACTTGTCTTATTTGAAAGCACGTAGGAAATTTTTTTTTTCAGCAATTGGACGAATTCATTCAGAATTTATTTCATGCACTGCAGCATTGAATATTTTATTTAAAATTGTTTAAATTTCATTTACCTAAAGATTGTTTGTAAAGATTAATTTATGTTTTGTTTCTTTTTGTAAAATGAGAAAAAGCTGGTTATATACAAAATGTAATGTGTAACTTCTAAATTGTTTTGATTTAAAAATAATGACACGCAATGTTGTACTTTAAATTCAAAGATTAAATTTCTTTAATTTCTAATTTGTCTAAATAATTATGTTTAAGTTCCATTTTTTTCTTTTTGTAAAATGAAAAAATTCTGGTTATATTGTCAAACAGAATGTAATAGGAACACTTAAATTCCTTTTTTTAAAAACAATACATTGCAATAATGAAAAACTTTTTGAATTCTCTATGCTTTCTAAATTATTTAATACCTGTTTAAAAAATGCAAATTTTGTAGAATAATTTTTTCTATGCCTGTCATTTCTCCTTAAAATGTATTCATTCTATAATGGAAATTATTCTTTCTATTATTTTTCATTACATTTTATTGCACTAACGAAAATGTTTTTGAAATGTTTTCGACAATAATAAATTATTTCTGAATTGTATCTTTTGAACTGCCTGCTCTCCTAACATATAATCATGAAATATATTATTATTATTATTATCTTCTATTAACTTTCGTTTTCATTTTGTTTCCATTTTTAATTCATTTTTCTAATTTCGTGTGTTTGTATCGGCAAGATTGACGCCAAGTCGGCAAAAATGGCTTCAAACTGAGCAATCAGTAAAATATGTGTAAAGTGTTATTTCCTGTCTAAAATTATTTTAGAATTCTGCGATTTTCATGAAATTTTTCTTATTAATCTGTTTATTTAGGACTGAAAAATTTTGCCTCATTAAAAAAAATATTCACAAAATTACACATATATTTACAAATTCGTAACAATTTATCTTATTTCTCGCTGCAACGAGATTTTGAAATTGAAAAATGGAAAATAACGCGTTTTGGACTATTCGTAAAATTTATTAGCACATTAATTGTTTTGATAATTTTAGACCTCTCCAGCATTTTTTATATTATTTTGCATTGGGGCACATTTTTGAAGCGATTTTTTTAGTGCCGGTCTAGTTTTGATTTTTTTATGCTATTGTACCAAACTAAAATTGCGAACAAGACCTTCAACAAGTCATCTTGAAGTATTTTTAAAAAAATGATGTTTTTAATTTTTGGTGCAACTAAGAATAATATGCGTTAAATTTATGATTATTATTATTATTTTTATTTCTTCTAAATAAGCATGCCTATTTTTGTTATTAATGTTTAAAATTGCTAAAATATATGAAATTAAAATTTCCCATTTTTCCAAAATATTATTTTTTAAATTATTATATTTAAAATATTACTTTCCAAGCAAAAATATAAAGTAAAAGATAAAAAAAAGGCTTTACAAACTTTCTCAAGACAGATTAAATCAAAATAACTAAAATATATAGAAAAATATAATTTCATAAAGTTATCTTTTTATAGTCTATGCATTGTTATTTCGTCTTAAAAATAGAAAAAAGTAATTTCAATGCAATATAATGTAATTTTGACCATGAAGTAAAAGTTGAATTAGTTTTTTTAAAAAACATATCATCTAGTTACATCAGTTTTTTTCTGAAAATTAAACAATTGGAAACATAAGCTAGCTTGAATTAAAATATTTACCTACTTTTTTCCAATTTTTATCCAATGTCAGCCATAACAATTGTGATAATGTATTGAAAATAAATATATTAAAAATAATTCGCAACTTTTGATTATTTTTAACAGAAGAATAGTTTTTTTAATCTGCATTTCATTCCAATTAACCCAAATTTTAAACCAATTATCTTCAAATAAATATTACAAGATATGAATTTATTAACTTATTATAATAATAAATACAAAAATTGAAAAAACGAGTGAATTAACTGTGAATGAGAGAATTGGTTCAAAATATTAGTTCTAGCCATAGAAATCAGACTCTAAAGGTCACAATATCAGTTTTTCTTTTCGGATTTAGAAAGCGACAATTGTTTTAAGAGAACAATATGATCGATAAATATGATAGTCCACGATAAATATGATAGTCCACGATATGATAGTCCACGAAATTTTCTCCAGATACTTTTAGAAAATGTAAGTGACTATGTGAATAAATTGAACGCTCAGTTACGGATATTAAATTATTCTCAGTACATTTTGTAGTCCTTCAACTACTCAATGCTATTAAATTTGAATTGAGAACAATTGGTTGAGAATTCTGAGTGAATCAATTTGAAACCCAAAAATACATTTCTCATAATTAACATTTAATGAATTTTAGAAGTTGTTTAGAAAAAACTATTTTGAAGATTTAATAAATTAATATCCTATCACAACGAGATCTTAAAATTTAGATGAAAACAATAATGCTTCATGAATCTTATAGTCGTGAAAGTGTCATAAATCGGTTTATTTGGAGATAGAAAAAACATGTTTTGCATATTTTTAAAAGTAATTAAAACACGAAATTCTTCTTAGATATTTGAATATTTTCCACGCAGTTCTTTTATTTTTCAAATTATTTTTAATTGATATTTTTTGACCAGAAACAAAAATTATCCTGCCTGTTACCATAATTCAGGTTACTTTCTAGATATTATAGACAAATATTACCTCAATGAAACTTTAATATTATAAATACTATGTACATTTAAATTTTTAAAAGAAACCCTTATAAATAATGACGGGTCATAACAAAGTGTGTTATGTCTGTTAGTAGGTAAGATATTAGAATATATTTTCGAAAGTAAATGTGTTAAAATGTCACGTCTGTTTCACTAACTGTTAGTAGATAAGGTACATCAAACAGATATGACATTTAAAGAAATTCGAGGAAACTAAATATTTCTAAAGGAATGTATTAAAATTTTATTTGATTTCTATTAAAATCCTAATGAGCTAAATTATCCAGTTGAAAAAATAACAACTAATTATGGTAACAAATACACGGTGAAGGAATTCTGGTAAAATTACCGAACTGTACGGTAATAACATTTCTAGTAAAAAAAAATAATTTTGGTTAACAAAACCAAAATATACGGTTTTTAAATTAATCATTTGGTAATTTTTCAGTACAAATGATAACGGTTTACCCGTAAGTCTGTTTTTCTAAATTATAGTTTTTATTACCTCACATTTAGAAAAAAAAATACAAAGCAGAAAAGTAAATTTAACCAAATAAATGGATTTCATGCCATGCTCTAAAGTATCATGATAAAATTACCTAATTTTATCGCATTAACTAAATTCTATCATAGATTATAAAACCATATTTTGTGACTTATTTCACCAAAATGATTAACAAAGCGCTTCCGTAAAAATTACAGAGCCCTTTGGTGTTTCCATAGAGCCAAGAACACGGAAACCATATTCTGGTAGTTTTGACTATACTTTTTTTTCTCAGTGTATGGCATACTAAAAAAGTACTAATGATTACTAGTACTAATGATTTTGCTTCACCAATAAAGCATAGAACATTTAAAAGAAACTGCTTATATTTTTTTTGTCAATGTTCACTGTTTTCATACTGCACAATTCATTCCTGAATTTTACAATATGACATAGGAGTATGGTAATAAACATGACATAGCTTTCCATTGATTTAGTTATGCAGACACTGATTTTTTTCTTTCTTTTTTGGGATTAAATATTCCAATTATTGTTGTAATTTTGTTTTCATTTATATATTTTCCTTTTAATTTTAATGAAGGAATTATAGTCAAAAGAAGAAATTGTAAAACCTATTTTCTATCATTTGATGTGTTCATTTTCTTATTTAAATATTTTGAAAGATAATAAGGATTACATCCATGATATAATTTCTCAACTTTCTTAGTGGATTTGGTTTGAAACCACTGAGTAGCGAAAGAATAAAATCGTCTAGTTTTATCCCAAATGGTAAATCTCGAAATTTTTGACTGATGACAGTAAAATAAATTCTGATTTTACTCACAACTAAACTAACTTGCCGTAAAAATTTTGATTTTTTTTACATCTTGTTAGTTTTATTCAACTTTCTTTTTATTCAATTTCAGGTGAATAAGAAAATAAGGAATAACCGAATCAAATGAATCAACTTTTCCTGCTATGCAGTGTGATATTGCTGGCTCAACTCATTATTAGTGTTGGCAGCCGTACACCATACTATCAAGGATGTCCTATGGCATATCAAAGGTTTAGTTACCATCATACGGCTTGCAGACCTCCTAATCCAAGATGTACAATTTATTCTCGTGGTATCAGCAAGTATGAAAAAGACTATATACTTTGGAAACATAATTATTTAAGAAGTTTTGTTGCTCAGGGATATGAGCGTACAAATAACCAACCAACTGCGGCAAACATGATGCAAATGGTATGTACGAGATGATTTTTTTAAAAGTAATTATTGATAGACATTTGGTTTTTAATCTTAAATATACTCTCATTTAAAGTACTTTTAAGTTCATAAATTATTAAAATCTTCATTATGAAATTTATTTAAAAGCCTTGTTTGAATAGTTGGTCAATTCCTTTTACTGAAAAATGAAGTTCTTCTGTTTCTGATATTATTAAAGTATGTTGACCAGAATAATTTCATTTGAGTTTCAGTTTTTGAATTGAATATAAATTTTGAAAAACAAAACAAACGCATTCTTCATACAGAGATTGACATACATTTCGAAATATGTGAGCAAAATTAATTATATTCCTCAACATGCTCCCACCATAAAAAAAAAGAAATAAAAATATTAAATACATTGAGTTAAAGAAAATATTCTATTTTCTTGTGCTGCGATTGATAACAAAATAAGTTTGAGTGTCATATTTCTTTATAATAAGGCTCCTATACTATTAGAGCTGACCTATTAAGCAATATTGGAGCAAACAAGTTCGCAAGTTAACGTTATGTTAGTATTGTGTTTATGTTAGTTCTTTGCTCCAAAAATAGATGATAAGTCGACCTGTCTAATTCAGGGGCTCTACTTTATAAGAATTACTTCTCTATGAGGTAAAAATAAAAAAAGAAGAGATGGTATATAAGAAGCAACTATTTTTTTATTTTAATTTTATAACCGTTGTTGAACAGCCGACCCAATTTTGGGTTTACTACTACTAAACCTTGTTCAACTCCATAGCCTTGTAATTTTGAACCCAATCCAGAAGACAAGAGAACTCCTGGATCAAGTATTGGGAAAAATTCGCTTTCGTGGAGAACTTTTTGTTGGAACTAACCAGCATTTGCTTCACATGGAGAGGAAGATCACAAGAAACTCCCACGGTTAACCTGACGGCAAGGGAACTCTAATCCATGAGATGTCTACCACTGAGGATATTTCACGTTAGCACTGTAGTCGGTGCGAGTCAGATGTGGATTCGTATCAACAAGCCATTCCTGGGATTCGAACACGGTTCGCCTGAGTATAAGACGAACGCTCTATCATGCGATTAACACACTCAAAATATTGTTTCAGAGTGTTCAAATTTTTATCGACACAAATATTAATTTTTATCGATTTGTGTGTCTCAAGACACACAAATATTAATTTTTATCGATAAATACAGCTACAGGCCCCTTAACTACCATTTAGTTGCTCATCCTAATTATTAATTTAATCCATTACAATATAGATACTATACTTAACTATGAAAGGCAACTTGATCTTAAGCTCGCTTGTGTACTAGCCGAGGATAATAGCATAATTTTATATTTAATTCTTTGGTAATCAAGTGAACAAATGTCGATTATTATACTTTTTAATGATCTGATAATGATCTTTTTAATGAGGATTGCAGAATCCTAATGGTGAAAATTGTGCCGCATTCATTTGTCCGATGAGAAACATATTAAAATAAACTTTAAAATCAAATTTTGGAATTTCGTTTTAAATTAGACATATACTTAAAGATTGAATGACATTCTTAAGTGATTTTATTAAGCGAATGTTTGAACAATAATAAAAAACATTGAATCTTGACCAATATTGAATATGAATAATATTAGATATTAAACAATATTGAAATATGAAGAATGATGTATTAGTTATATATTAGTTAAACATTGTTTTATATTTTCAATTGTTATAATTATTATTTCCTACAATTATTGTTTCCTATCTTCTTTCAATTCGACTGATTTGTGGTAAAGTAGTGATTAAAAGTGATGACTAAAAGTGATTTGTGGTATAGTAGCGATTAAAAGTGATGACTAAAAGTGATTTGCGGTAAAGTAGTGATTAAAAATGATGACTAAAAGTGAGTTGTGGTATAGTAGTGATTAAAAATGATGACTAAAAGTGATTTGTGGTAAAGTAGTGATTAAAAACAGTTTTCAAGGTGGGAAAAAAAGAAGCACTGTTTTATTTTGTTTGTTTTGATAATCGAATTATTAGACATAAGGTTTTATGCTAAAATTGCTACAAATCTCTAGATAGGTTGAAATTTCAAGCTCTGAAACATTTAAAAATGTAGTGGCACATGCATTGAAAATATGATTTAAGAAAGAGAACATTTGAAGTTGTAAAAAATATATTTCAAGAAAACTATTGTAAATAATTATTTAACTTTTTTATTAGTCAATTTAATATAAGCAAACGTTTTGAAATCTCAGAAGCAAATACAGCAATCGATACTGTAAGAAATTCCAAATCAAATTACTGTAAAAAGTATAGGCACCCTGAGTACAGCATCTAAAAATTCTATTTTACCATAAAACCCATTCTTACAGTAAAATTTCATACCGTAATTTTACAGTAATATTCATTTAATTGATTCAGTGATTTTACACTGACTATTATAAAAACATTTACTGTACATCAGATTTTTTTTGTTCCGCAAAACTTTGCAATGTTAAAAAATTTTACGGTAAAAAGTACTTACATCCTGAGTGCTTAATTTGATCCAGGATTTTTTACTGTGTATACAAAATATTTCTATTTGCCACAATAAATTTTAAATAAATGAGTTTCATACAGTCAGTTGCTAGTTTTTCTTGGAAAATAATATTCTTTTTAAAATTAAGCATGTATAATGTGTTTATCAAAGCATTTATAATTATAACTTAAAAACCTTTTCTATGATTAAAGAAAGTTAAATACTTAGTTATTTGAATTATTTTATTAGTTTTTATTTAATAGCTTTTCTAAAACTCACAACAAACCTCTTTAGTGACTGAACTATGGGAACGATTTTTTTCCAGACATGGTCAACGCCCATACAATTGGGTGTAGAAAACTGGTATGTTCTTTTTGAGAAAGTATGTAATTACGGAAGCTCATTTTTTTGTGTGTTTCCGCCTCAATTAGTATTCATAACAATGAATAATAATTATTTAAGTGACACAGCGCTGCTTCTGTACGAAATAGGAATCCTATTTTAAAGAAAAATAAACTTAAAATTTAGGAACCAACAGAGGACGTTTTTCTGAGATTTCTTAAAATTAGTCTAAAAGATGGTTGAATATATCTTCAGTATAATCAGTATATTCAATATATTCAGCATAATCTTTCAATATAATCCCCTTGAAATAATGCATCATCGTAAGTTTCACATAATTTCTTTTAATGAAAATTAATAATCTGCGCGGAGAAAAAGAAATCTGGCAAAAATACCGTACTGTATGGTATTGACATTTTCGGTAAAAAAAACAAAACATAATTCGGGTAAATAAAACCAAAATATACAGTATTTAAACAACCATTTATATGGTAATTTTTCCATTCAAATGGTAACTGTTTATTGTTCCCAAAAAATTGTAGATCTTATTACCTCACATTCAGGAAAACATATGAAAGTGAAAAGTAAATTTAACCGAATAAATGTTTTTTATACAATGCTTTAAGGCCTCATGATATAATAACCAAATTCTATCACAATCATTAAATTTTATCAGATAATATAATACCATATATTACTCTTAATTTTACCAAAATCATTAATAAAGCACTAAGTACAAATTACCTCGCTTTTTGGTGTTCCTATAGACCAGAAACACGGTAAATTTTACCATATTCTGATACTTCAGAGCATACTTTCTTTCTCAGTATGGTACTGCATAACGTAATAAATGATATTTTGTTATTCCTAAATAAACACATCTTTTTTTATGGATTCGGATTATTAATGAGTCGAAAATTTGGACAATAAAGCTGAAATATAAGTAGAGCAAGCCTGCTGTTATATTTACCCTTCTCTATTCGTCCCAAATATCAGAGTCTCAACAGTCTCCCTCTTATTCGGTGATTGGCGTCGTATGACAGTTTAGATGAATTCTCTTTTCAAGTAGATTTTATTTTATAACCGTCGTTAAACAACCGACCCAATTTTATGGGCTTACGACTACTAATGTTTAACTCCGTAGCCTTGTAATTTTGAACCCAATCCGGAAGACAAAGGAACTCCTGGATCGAGCATTGGGAAAAATTTGCCTTCGTGGAGCACTTCTTGATGGAGCTAACCCGCATTTGCGTTACATGGAGAGGAAGACCACGAGAACCTCCCACGGTTAGCCTGACCGCAAGAGGATTCTAACCCATGATCCATCTATCACTGAAGATATTTCACGTCAGCACTGAGGTCGGTGCAAGCCGGATGAGGAATTCGTATCGACTGGGATTCGAACCCGGTTCGCCTCATTGGAAGGCGAACGCTGTATCCCCTGAGCCATTTTCTAGTAGATTCGTGTCTATACAGGAGGAAAAGGCCGGGATAGCCTGGTTGGTAGGGCACTGGGTCAATGTTCTAGAGGTCGTGGGTTCGATCCCCGCCGGTCGAAGACTCCCCGTGTGACTGATGAACGTTAAATCTGTCGAGTCTTCGAGTCGAGAGACAAAATTTTCCATGTTCCCATAAAAAATCATACCTTTGGGGGTACTGATCCAGGAGATGCTTTGTCTTCTGAATTTGGCTCAAAATTGCAAGGTTACGGAGTTGAACATTAGTAGTCGTAAACCCAAAATTGGATCTGCTGTTCAACGACGGTTATAATATAAAATAAAATATACAGGAGGAAGTTGGAGAGTTGCAGCTTCAGAAGCGTTAAGATTAGCGGAACAGTAAAGTAGTTAATCATTTTTCCATATGACTTTGCTAAATTAAAAATTATTTTAGAATTCCAACTTTCTATGATAAGCTTATTAGAAGTTAGAAAATTATTAAAATTTAGAAAATTATAATTTTTGAATGGTTTTAGAAACGATAAAAACGCATCTTGTAATGAATATACCTACAGTTAAATTTTAAAATTTAAAAATGGTTTGAATTTTTAAAATGTTTCACTAATTCACAATGGCAAAACAAATTTCATATTTAAAATTGAAGTCAATCTAAGTTTTTCCTATTTAATTTCAAAATATTAACTTTAATAATACGTATCCT